GACTATTAAATTCAATTGATAAAGGCAGTATCCCTCTACACAGTTATCATATCGACCATCTAGGGCCAATACCGTCAACAAAAAAATCGTACCGCCATATATTTATTATTGTAGACGCATTTTCTAAGTTTGTTTGGTTGTATGCCACCAGGTCCACAGATACTGCAGAGGTACTGGACAGATTGAAAAAACAATCTAGTATATTCGGCAACCCACGACGAATCATCAGCGACCGCGGCACGGCATTTTCATCAAACGCGTTTTCAGAATATTGCAAAGAAGAAAATATCGAACACATTTTAATTACAACCGGTGTACCAAGAGCCAACGGTCAGGTAAAACGGGTCAACAGGATTATTATTCCTCTTCTATCGAAGTTGACCGCACCCAAGCCTGAAGAATGGTATAAGTACCTGCCGCTGGTACAAAAATACCTGAACGCTACTCCAAGTCGTAGCACGAGAAAAACACCTTTTAACCTCATGTTTGGAACAGATATGCGGCTAAAAGATAATCCCGAAATTCGCTGTATTATTGAAGCCGAATGGATAAAGATGTTTGAGGAGCAGCGCGACGAATTGCGGCTTGAAGCAAAAAGAAGTATAATTAAAATTCAAGAAGAAAACCAGAAGTCATTTAATAAGAAAAGGAAGAAAACGACACAATATAAAGTAGACGACCTAGTTGCAATAAAACGGACGCAACTAGGTTCTGGATTAAAATTCAGTCCCAAGTTTCTAGGGCCATATAAAATAACAAAACTCCTTCGTAATAATCGATATATAGTAGAGAAAGTTGGAAATCATGAAGGCCCTTACCAAACATCTATAACCGTTGATTACATGAAGCCCTGGCCAAAAAATGAAGATATCTCAGTAAATCATACTTATTGTCCACAAGGCAATGACGAAGACTCCGATGAAGAACATCTGGGGTCAGATGTGTTTTAGGATGGCCGAGTGTAGTATCGGGAATACATGCAGGTAGTATACAGCCCGGCTTAGAATCTGTTTAGGCTTAGTTTATAGTTTAGTTTTAAAAGTATGTATTTATTTCGTAAGTGCGGAGAGGCTCACAACGACGACCGAAACATGGGTTCATTACCTGCAACGTCAATAAAACGAGTCGGACTTGAGGGGCTCGGGGTAGTTTGTCAGAAACCGTCGTAAGCTAACCTTTTCTTGTATTTGTAATTGTTATTCTTTCAATTTTTCACATTTTAAAATAAACTNCCAAGTTTCTAGGGCCATATAAAATAACAAAACTCCTTCGTAATAATCGATATATAGTAGAGAAAGTTGGAAATCATGAAGGCCCTTACCAAACATCTATAACCGTTGATTACATGAAGCCCTGGCCAAAAAATGAAGATATCTCAGTAAATCATACTTATTGTCCACAAGGCAATGACGAAGACTCCGATGAAGAACATCTGGGGTCAGATGTGTTTTAGGATGGCCGAGTGTAGTATCGGGAATACATGCAGGTAGTATACAGCCCGGCTTAGAATCTGTTTAGGCTTAGTTTATAGTTTAGTTTTAAAAGTATGTATTTATTTCGTAAGTGCGGAGAGGCTCACAACGACGACCGAAACATGGGTTCATTACCTGCAACGTCAATAAAACGAGTCGGACTTAAGGGGCTCGGGGTAGTTTGTCAGAAACCGTCGTAAGCTAACCTTTTCTTGTATTTGTAATTGTTATTCTTTCAATTTTTCACATTTTAAAATAAACTTTGTTATTCTTCAACTTCGTGTTACCTTTCACTCCCATAATATCCCACATTAGTTACCATTTGTATTTAGTGAGAGTTAATAAATATAATAATTATTTCAAACGGTTGTTCCCATCTTTTAAATAGATAGCTCAAAGAATCTATATTGGTGACCCCGAACAAAGAAGTAAACTTCGTACAAAAGAGAACCGTTACACATGACCAGACTTGAACATTCGCAAACCAGAACAGCTAGTGGCAATACAGAGTTGATCCAGAGAACACTCAAGATAACATTACTCCTAGTACAGCAAATAGTCCAGGAGGGTCAATCAGCATAAACAACGATCAGCAGACTGCAGCAGGTAGCAATACACAAGCTAATGCCGATGAAAACGAGGTAGTGTCGGTAGAATTCAAACTACCGCCATTTTGGAAACAAGATCCAGCACTTTGGTTCATCCAGGTTGATGCAGCATTTCATCGAAAAAAGATTACCAGTGACAATAATAAATATTGGACAGTCATTTCCTATATTGATCCAGAGTTATTGCAACATGTTTCAGATATAGTGAAAAAACCTCCTGCAACTTACAAATACAAAATGCTCAAAGAAAGTCTAATCAGTCGTCTAAGAACAACACAGGAACAACAGTTACAATTTTTACTTGACGATATCGAATTAGGAGATAATAAACCTTCACAATTGTTACGCAGAATGCAAGATCTAGCTGATAATAAAGTAACAGAAGATGTCCTACGTTCACTTTGGGTAAAACGTCTCCCAGCCAACGTTCGCTTTGTCTTATCTGCCAACGTAGAAACCAGCCTCACTGCAGCAGCAACCCTAGCTGATAGGTTAATTGAAATTAATCCAGTACAAAATGTGATGGCTGTCAGCAATCAAAAAGATGTTCCAGCAACAGTTCCAAGTAAACTGTCTGATGATCAACGATTAGACAAACTAGAGAAAGCAGTCGAAGCTTTGCAAGTGTCAGTAAAAGAGCTTACCAATAGCAGAAGAAGCCGTGATCACACACCAAGAAGCAGATCACGAGCAAAATCGCGTTCTTACGGCCGAACATCTACATTAAAGAATGGGATATGTTTTTATCATGAACGATTTGGTACCAAAGCAAACAAATGTGAAGATGGTTGCACCTTTATACAAAACCAGGGAAACTAAATAAGCTGTCCTTAGCGCAAACGGGAAGCGACAGCAGTTCACTCCAGAAGGAATACCGTTTGTATACTTACGATAAAATGAATAAAATAAAGTTTCTTGTAGACTCAGGTTCAATACTATCAGTATTACCTCGATATCTCATCAAAACAAAACTAAAACCTGGTCCAATTAAATTATATGCTGCAAATTCCGGTGTCATAAATACCTACGGCAACAGAATCTTACAGGTAGATTTTGGTTTGCGCAGATCCTTCAAATGGTTTTTTATGATAGCAGATGTAAAAACACCCATTATAGGAGCCGACTTTCTCAGTTATTTTGGTTTGATTATTCACCTTCGTGAGCGATGTCTCATTGATACTAATAGGACTCTTACTGCAAAATGTGACGTAATGCGAACTTCCACGTTCAGCATCTCCACTCTCAATCAACAAAACATTTATTCTAACTTATTGAAAGATTTTGTTGACATTACAAAGCCTGCTACAACTCCACGCACAGAAGCCACTTCCCCAGTTGCTCATTACATCGAAACTAGTGGATCTCCAGTCTTTGAACGTCCTAGGAAGTTAGCTGGTGAAAAGCTAGAAGCACTTCGTCTTGAAATCGAGTTTATGCTCGAACAACACATCATAAGAGCTTCAAGAGGTCCATGGGCAAGTCCAGTCCATCTCGCACCTAAAAAAACCGATGGATGGCACGTTTGTGGGGACTACAGAAAATTAAATGCTAAAACAACACCCGATAGATACCCACTACCGCTTCTTCAAGACTTATTTCAGCGTCTTCATGGAAAAAAAGTATTCTCAACTTTAGATTTAGTAAGAGCATACCATCAGATTCCCATGGCAGAACAAGACATTCAAAAAACTGCAATCAACACACCATTTGGTATGTATGAATATGTTGTTATGCCATTCGGGTTACGCAATGCATCACAGACATTTCAAAGGTTTGTTGATTCTCTCTTCAGAGGTCTTGAATTTGTCTTTGTGTAAACCATGAGCAGCACCAAGATCAGCTAGAGCAAGTTTTCCATCGACTTCGAGAGAACAAATTAGTCATAAACGTCAGCAAATGTGTTTTTGGTCAAGAACAAGTGCAATATCTAGGCTATACAATCAACCAATATGGTTATCAGCCACGTACAGAACGAATTAAAGCAATCACTAACTATAAGCAGCCTGAAACCATTCAAGAGCTACGAAGATTTCTGGGTGTAATCAATTATTACCGCAGATGCTTACCTGACGCAGCCAAACATCAAGCATCTCTTAATGAGTTTATCAAAGATTCAAAGAAAAATGATAAACGTAAAGTTCCATGGACGTCACAAACAATTCAAGCATTCGAGATGTGAAAACGAAGTGTAGCAGAAGCAACACTTATGTCTTTTCCAGATCCTAAAGCACCTTTAGTGCTCAGAACAGATGCTTCTGACGCGGCAGTGGGAGCAGTTTTAGAACAGTTCGTAGAACAGCAATGGAAGCCTATAGGCTTATTCTCAAGCAAACTAAATTCAACTGAACAAAAATACAGCACTTATGATTGAGAACTCCTAGCAGTTCATTCAGCCATAAAGTTTTTCCAACATTTCCTAGAAGATCGTACATTTATTACTAAAACTGATCATAAGCCTCTTGTTTATGCATTACACAGAAAATCCGAGCAAGCTTCACCTCGTCAACTTCGACAGCTGTCATTCATATCACAATTCAGCACAGAAATAGTCTACGTAAAAGGTGAAGATAACATTGTGGCAGATGCATTGTCAAGGATAAATCAAATTAACATGCCAACAGTACTTGGTCCACAAGAGATTCAACGAGCTCAAGCTGATGACGAAGAACTTAAAAACCTTTTAGAAAATTCTAACTCTTCATTGAAATTACAACGTCTCAATGTTGATCCTGAACAAAATGTCTTCATTTATTGTGATATTTCTTCTGGCATTGTTAGACCATTCATTCCTAAGAACCTCTGCAAAACAGCTTTTGAAACAATTCACGGTTTATCTCATCCAAGCGGCAGGACAACGAGCAAACAATTAAAAACAAAATACATCTGGCCTGGAATAAAACGAGATGCCCTAGCTTGGTCACGTGGTTGCTTATCGTGTCAGGATGGATCTTCATCGTCCGAGGCGAATGGTTCTTCTTCGTCACCTGATTCTGCCAACACGATTCTTTTTTTAGTTTTACGAGCAGACTTTCTTGAAGCTTCTGCGTTTTTTTCAGCTACAATAGCTTTTAGTTGTGTTATATCTGGAGATGAATTCAGTATTCCGAATTTGCCTTTCTTACGGTTCACAAATCTTTTCGTTTGCGAACATTTGGGCAATGGAGATATATCTGCAATCGTTAAAGTTGCTTCAGTTCGATTGTTAGATTGGGAGCTCTTTGGATCTGAAGGTTCTCCATCGGTCTGGACATTTGTCTGCGAGCTCACTGGTACTGAAGGCCCTGCATCAGTCTGTTCATTTGTCTGAGAGCCCTCAGGCGCTGAAGGCCTTGCTTCGGTTTGGTTATTTGTCTGAGAGCTCTGAGGCGCTGAAGGCCTTGCTTCGGCTTGGTCTCTTGTATGAGAACTCTCCGGCGTTGAAGGCCCTGCTTCATTTGGGTCACTTGTCTGAGAACTTTTCGACGGTGCAGGCCCTGGTTCGTTTGGATCATTTGTCTCAAAGCTTACAGGTACTGAAAGCCCAGCCTCGTTTTCATCGTTTATCTGAGAGCTCACAGGTGCAGAAGGTTCTGCCTCAGCTTCGGCTTGAGACTGGGAGGTCTGGTCAGTGACGTCTGAAGGTGCAAACATGAGATGGCATACATACTGGGTGAGATGGCATATACCCTATGCCGTCTCATCTGACAGGTACTTAATTTAGAAAACAAGTGGCAACTCTTTCATTCTTCAAGTTAGTCTAATATTTCAAGCTACATATTTGTCACACTCAGATCTAAAAACAATATTGGCAGTTACCTACCTGTTAGCTTTCGTACAACAGCAGGAATCTGACTTTTTCTTCACTAAAAACAAGATTTTGAGAGAGGTTGTTTTACAAAAACCGACGTGCGCTCCGCTTCGATCGTCCGCACGCACTGTCGATGCGGCCGGTCGGAACGAGTTTCTATCGGCGATGTATCTGTGTGTATAGGGTCGCCACCGGACTACAAACGGCGAAAATATTGCTGCTATGCCATCTCAGACAGTATGCCGTCTCAGACCACCTTCCCCTAGTGTCTCACAATGGTAGACAGGTTTTCTCGGTGGCCAGAAGCCGTACCTATTAAAGATATGACTGCAGATAAAGTAGCAACTGCTTTTTTTGATAATTGGATTTGTCGCTACGGTACAGCATTATCAATCACTTCTGATCAAGGCACTCAATTCGAGTCAGCCCTTTTCACTTCAATAGCAAGACTAGTTGGCGCTTCACGTATTAGAACAACTCCTTACCATCCAGCTTCCAATGGAATGGTAAAGCGCATGCATCGAACTCTAAAAGCAGCCTTCATGTGTCATCCGCAAGTTCCTTGGACTCGGCGTCTACCAACTGTGCTCCTGGAACTTCGCACNATAACAAACACATTTAATTTTTTGAAAAAGCTGGCATATGATATTTTAATAATGTTTTCATCAACCTATGCCTGCGAGTCATCATTTTCAGAGATTAATAACATCAAAAACTCGCAGTTACAAACCGTTTGGTAGGGGAAGGTGGTCTGAGATGGCATAGATTTCGAAAAAATGAATTTTTAGGAATCTTGTAACTTAATTGAAATAAATAGCCCATCTATGTAAAATAAAGGTTTATTATCTTCTTAGAATAATTGAACAAAATGAACACAAATTACTATTTCTTTGGAAAACAATCATTTTTAAAAAAGTCTTGAAAATCCATCTCACCCAACCCCTATGGGTAAGATGGCATACAATTAACAGTACTCATCCAAATCACCGTTTTACTTGCAAATATCACAAATGACAGGTTTTGACGTTTTTGGTAATCCAATGCACTCTGCGTGGCACCATCGACGACAGATTTGACATCGAAGCCAGCATTCTTTGGGTCGGGAATGGCTCCAAGGCTCCATGCAATAAATGCAGGATGGATCTTCATCGTCCGAGGCGAATGGTTCTTCCTCGTCACCTGATTCTGCCAACACGATTCTTTTTTTAGTTTTACGAGCAGACTTTCTTGAAGCTTCTGCGTTTTTTTCAGCTACAATAGCTTTTAGTTGTGTTATATCTGGAGATGAATTCAGTATTCCGAATTTGCCTTTCTTACGGTTCACAAATCTTTTCGTTTGCGAACATTTGGGCAATGGAGATATATCTGCAATCGTTAAAGTTGCTTCAGTTCGATTGTTAGATTGGGAGCTCTTTGGATCTGAAGGTTCTCCATCGGTCTGGACATTTGTCTGCGAGCTCACTGGTACTGAAGGCCCTGCATCAGTCTGTTCATTTGTCTGAGAGCCCTCAGGCGCTGAAGGCCTTGCTTCGGTTTGGTTATTTGTCTGAGAGCTCTGAGGCGCTGAAGGCCTTGCTTCGGCTTGGTCTCTTGTATGAGAACTCTCCGGCGTTGAAGGCCCTGCTTCATTTGGGTCACTTGTCTGAGAACTTTTCGACGGTGCAGGCCCTGGTTCGTTTGGATCATTTGTCTCAAAGCTTACAGGTACTGAAAGCCCAGCCTCGTTTTCATCGTTTATCTGAGAGCTCACAGGTGCAGAAGGTTCTGCCTCAGCTTCGGCTTGAGACTGGGAGGTCTGGTCAGTGACGTCTGAAGGTGCAAACATGAGATGGCATACATACTGGGTGAGATGGCATATACCCTATGCCGTCTCATCTGACAGGTACTTAATTTAGAAAACAAGTGGCAACTCTTTCATTCTTCAAGTTAGTCTAATATTTCAAGCTACATATTTGTCACACTTAGATCTAAAAACAATATTGGCAGTTACCTACCTGTTAGCTTTCGTACAACAGCAGGAATCTGACTTTTTCTTCACTAAAAACAAGATTTTAAGAGAGGTTGTTTTACAAAAACCGACGTGCGCTCCGCTCGATCGTCCGCACGCACTGTCGATGCGGCCGGTCGGAACGAGTTTCTATCGGCGATGTATCTGTGTGTATAGGGGCGCCACCGGACTACAAACGGCGAAAATATTGCTGCTATGCCATCTCAGACAGTATGCCGTCTCAGACCACCTTCCCCTATTGTCTCACAATGGTAGACAGGTTTTCTCGGTGGCCAGAAGCCGTACCTATTAAAGATATGACTGCAGATAAAGTAGCAACTGCTTTTTTTGATAATTGGATTTGTCGCTACGGTACAGCATTATCAATCACTTCTGATCAAGGCACTCAATTCGAGTCAGCCCTTTTCACTTCAATAGCAAGACTAGTTGGCGGTTCACGTATTAGAACAACTCCTTACCATCCAGCTTCCAATGGAATGGTAAAGCGCATGCATCGAACTCTAAAAGCAGCCTTCATGTGTCATCCGCAAGTTCCTTGGACTCGGCGTCTACCAACTGTGCTCCTGGGACTTCGCACGTGTGTTAAAAAAGATTTAAAGGCCTCGCCAGCAGAATTACTGTACGGTACAACGCTGCGTGTTCCTGGCGAATTTTTCGTGAATCAGGACATGCTAGCAGATCCACAAATTTTTGTCGAAAAATTCAGAGAGTACATGAGAAGCATCAGACCAACTCCAACTGCTCATCATACGAAAGCTCGAGTATTCATACTTAAAGACTTGCACAGCTGCTCACATGTATTCTTAAGAGTTGATGGAGTAAAAAAACCACTTGAACCACCGTACTCCGGACCTTACCAAGTGATTCAACGGGGTCAATGACAGAGTGTTCAAAATTAATATCAATGGTGAAGTGAAGTCAGTGTCTATAGAGAGACTTAAACCCGCTTATGAAACAAAAAACGACGGCACTACCTCAGCCCAAGACGATGTACCTGAAACACCAATTCCAGAGCAATGGGACACGGCAATGGACCAACCAGGGTATGAAATATCGAGCGCGAGCAACACCTAAGTTTACCCCACGTAAGTTTTTAAATTTTTTAAATTACCAAAATCGACATTACCGACATACTAGGCGACATACATTTTACTGAAACGACAACAGATGATGCGACGGCGGTTGCGATTATCGGAGGAATTCCCCAGTAGTTGTGGCGTTATTGAGCAATAGTGAGTAGTTTCACAACTTGTAATATTTTAAAATTTTTGTGAAAAGTACTTTTACCTATCCTGAAAGTAAGTAATATATTAAGTACTTCAATCATGCTTTACAATAAGTAAAGAAAGGATGTTTTCTGCCCAACACAGAAAAACCGTGATGTACAGTCTACACTATTACGGGGTCAAATTAATTTGAAATAGATTATACAGCTCCTGCAGGAGTTAAAGGTCAAGAAGCCGCTTTCCATTTTCCTGAAGTAACAGCGGTTTCAACGAAAGTGGCAGGTATTGTAATTTGTTGTTGTGAAACTTAAGTTCTAAAAAAAAATGTTTTGTAGAACTTCTTCTGGTAGAGGAATAGAAGCAGACGGAATTGCCCCATTAAAAGATGAAAAAGTACTGCATCCAGTGAAAACATATGACGGGAAAAGAAGAATTGTTTCAACTGCAGGTAGTTATGCAGATAACAGTTTCAAATATCCAAAACATATATAATTATTTGTTATAGAAAGTACACTCCCAATGGACAATACAGAAGCTAGTATTTCTGCAGTTTCTGAATCGTTAGCACCCCCTGTAGAAGCAGGAAGCAGTACTAAATTAGGTAAAGAACAATTTCTTTGTTCATACAAATATACCTGTATTAGTATCTATATTTTAATTAATTGATGTTTGCTATTTACTCGTATATTGTGCTAATTATATTTATTACTGCATTTATACTTTGTTATTAAATTTGTTAATTTTTTTTTTTTTTTTTTTTTCAATTTCCATTTAAAACAAAAAAAAATAAAATTTGGTGTAATTTTGAAATGCGCGCCTTTGGTTACGCTTCATAGTTTGATGTATAGATGGCAGTGAAATTCGAAGTTTTCTTTGCCAGTACCATTTATATATATATATATCGGCTACTAATGTGGGGTAAACTTAGATGTCACTGGTATCGTCATAATCTCGCGAGTTTTACATCTATTTCCTAGTCTAGGGGACCAACCCAAGAAGACGTACACCCGAAAGAAGAAAATATCGTTCCCGAGTGAATGCACTAGGTCGCTAGGGAGGGAGTGATGTGGCCGTTCAGTACAAACTTCTGCTACCAACCGTGAGGCGCGAGTGTGCCGGCGTGAGCAGTTGGTAGCAATGAATTATTTCAAACGGTTGTTCCCATCTTTAAATAGATAGCCCAAAGAATCTATATATAGGACAAAAATAACGCCCTCTTCTGGTTATGTGGTGGTATTACTTGGCCCTCCACATGTGGTATTTCATCTTCAATGCCATTGATGAGGCAAAACTCATCAGAGTTCTAACCAACTGGAAAACGACATATCATTAGGCTGAAAATGCTTTAGAGATGAATATATTGGCTGAAAAACCACGTTGCTGAAGGTGGCTTCTCCATTGCTTCCATTTCCGTTGTCCACCATTTTTTATGAATAACTGTTGATTCTTTGTTCCAATTTTCTCTTATTGTATCTTACGGATACTTAACTTAAATTCGAGTATTAAAACAAAGGACGAAAATATGTATACACACGCACTATACTAATGTTCTTATAGTTTAAAGGAAGCTGACACTTGATTTTCTTTTGTATGGTACCCACGCGGTTCGACAAAATCCTCGTCGCCAAACTGCTATGTATTTGACTTGCACACAATATACACTATTCCGGACTAACTAATACTCTGGTGGTTTAAACAGTTTATTTACACAATATACAATATTTACAAGTATGGACGACTAACAGTAATATACACAAACGAGAACAAGGCATAAGACAACGACACGACTGACTAACAACGACGACAACGGGAGACTGCCTTCCCGCACTTTTCCTTGTTAATTCCCGCTTATTCCTCGCTGATTAGGTAGCGCCATTTTAAACGACCACTACTTCTATGCTTGAACATATGAAATAACATAGTTAGGGAATGCTTGCTTAAACTAAATATTATAACTATCTTACTTTATAAATGTAACATATATCTGATATATACCATATATAACACAATCCAGCGCAATCTAAGCTAACCTAACCTAACCTGACCCGGTCAAACTTGCGCCATGCCACCTTGCCGTACTTTCCCTTCCTTAATAAACCAATCTAACATGATAAAACATAATACAATCCAACCCAAGTCAATCCAGCACAATCTAAGCTAAGCTAACCTAACCTAACCTAACCTAACC